TTTTTTTTTTTTTTTTGTTTTGCTTTTTCGTTTCCTGGAGGTTGAAGAAAGTAGCCTGTCTGGTCCGTGGCCCGCAGACCTCCCTTGCGGGCAGGCGGCGCTCGGAGAACAGCTGACTTGGGTGCTCACGTGACCTCCCAGCTCCCGGTTCCCCGCCGGGGCCCTTTCCATGACAAGCACAAGGTAGAAACTTCAGCCCCTCCCACCCACCCACCTCTGGAACATCTGCCACACGAGCCAGAGTTTGTCAGAAGTTTCTGTTTCCCCAGAAGCTGGGGAAGATCAGCCACCTGGCCCTCTGTGCACGGCTCAGGTCAGAACTTAACTGGCCACAAGGTATCTTCCCAGCCCTGCCTGTCCTCTCCCCAGCGGATGCCCCTCACAGAGAGAGGCAGCCCTGCCCATCCTTGCTCCCTCTGTTCTTTGTCCTGCCTTTCCCCTGACCGCAAACCTTTTCGCCTTGCACCCTGCTGACTTAGCAGCCAGGCCAGCGGGCGTGCAAGATTAATCAGTGACAGGAAGCTGTCTCACTTGGAGCAGTGACCCGCTGCGGTCAGCACAGGCTCCTCAAGGCCAGCTCAGAAGTCTGTCTGCTGCTGGCCACCTGCTCCTGCCATGGGCCACCTCAGCGTCCTTCTCTTCCTGCTGGGGGCCCTCGGGGCCCTGGCGGAGCGCTGTGGTGAGTAACGGGTCTACCATGGCCCTTTTCTCCTGGGTCCTTGGGAGGGAGGACTATCTGGTCCAACTCCACGTGTCTGGGCAAACTGAGGCTAGAGGTGGCACAAAGGGGCCTCTCAGGACTTCCAAAGTAGTTTGGCCATTGCTGGACTTGAGTGGTCACCATCCTGAAGTGAGATGAATGGTGAATCTGACTCCTCCACCAGGCAAGCTCTCCTCCATCGATCTAGACATCCATTCATGGATTCACTCAAATTCTGTGTAGCAAGCGTGTGAAAGGCTTTGGGGAAAGATTAAAGAACGAGTCGAGTCCAGCCTCTTCTACCCTGCATCCCAGTGGTGGTGGTTATGTGCCTTCATGTAGGAATCAACTCAGAGTTCCTGTGGGGATAAACAGAAAAGGCGGAGGAACAATGTGTGTTGAGAGGCTGTGGGGAGCGCTGCACACGCAGCCGGCCTGGCTCAGAAGGGAGTTTAGAGAGGTCAGGCCAGGAGTCCTGAGAGCCAGCAGTCAAGGGAGCTGAGCTGCAGCAGCCAGCAAGGACAGGAGAGGGAACAACAGTGTGCTGGGCAGAGTGAAAACCCACTGGAAGGTCAGCTATGGGTCAGTTCTGACTCAATAGCACACAATCACAGCTGTGAGCCGACTGACAGTATCAGGCTCATTTCCTTCTTCCTGGCCTTTCCTCTTGGTATGGGGCACCCTCACTCCACAACCACTTGAAGCCCTGCACTGTTGCAATGGACTGTGGTCAGTGCACTTGTGTTAGTGTTTTACGCCTTGTGTTTTTTAATCCAGTGCTTGTCAGCTCCCTCCCTGGGGAAGCTCACTCCCTTAAGGAAGCTTTTATCACTTCATAAATCTGCTCAAAGAGCCATGATAACACAGTGGTTAAGTGCTTAGCTCTTAACCAAAAGGTCAACAGTTCTAGCCTACTCTGTGGGAGACCAATGTGGTAGTCTGCTTCCATAAGGATTAAAACCCAAACTAAATCCAGGGTCACCACTGAATTGATTCTAACTCATGACAGTTCCCCAACGAGGCTTCTGAGGCTGTGAGTTTTTTTCAAGTTTTTCTTTTAAAATTTGTATTTTATATTGTTTGCTTAAAAAGTTTGTATACATTATGTTTTACACTATTCTTCATTCACATTGTGTTTTATAAAATCAATATGTTTTATACAATTAATCATCATTGAACTATGCCCTCTTTCCAGATCCCCACCTGATCTTTCCCATTTCCATTACTCAATCCCTCCCTCGACCCACCAATTACACCACCCTATGATTTCCCACTTGACCATCCTCTCCCCTCTGCTCCTCTCCTTGATCCTCATACATGTTTCACTAGTTGTCTTTCCATTTCTATAATAATGGTCTTCTGCAGTATTTGTCCTTATAAGACTGAGTTAGTTCACTCAGCATAATGCTCTCCAGTCCCTCTCAAGTTATGCAGTAATTTTCAAAATCGCTTCTGAGAGCTGCATAGCATCATGTGACTGTACCACAGTTTCTCAGTCCATTCAATTGTGGTTGGACATTTAGGCTGTTTCCATGTTCTTGCGATGGTGAATAACACTGTTATGAATGTTGGTGTACAAATTTCCCTTTGTTTCAGTTCTAATTTCCTCAGGGTATATTCCTAGCAGTGAGTGGTCATATGGAATTTCTATATTCAGCTTTTTGAGGAAACGCCAAGGTGCCTTCCAGAGTGGCTGTACCATGTAAATCTGAAGGAGAGGAGATTGCCTATCTTTCTCTCCTGTGGAGTGGCTGGTGGGTTTGAACTGCTGATCTTTCAGTTGACAATCCAGCATTAACTTACTGTGCCACCAAGCTGATCCCTCCATAAAGATTTCAGCCTTGGAAGCCCTATAAAAATTCACTGTCATTGAGTCAATTCAGAAACCCTCCGTTGGGTTTCCAAGGCTGTGACTCGCAATGGGAGGAGACTACCCGTCTTTCTTCCTCTGAATGCTGGTGCATTTACCTGTCAGAGATGCATGTGGCCTTTTGGATAGAAACACAACAGGCTACATCACCAGAGCACCATTCTGCCCTATCCGGTTGTTTTAAGCAGAAGTTGCTACAATCTGCCACTTCGCTCTTATGGTTGTTGTTGTTAGGTGACGTCCAGTCAAATACGACTCATATCGACCCTGTGATCTGCACTTTGCCCTATCCTGTACCATCTTCAACATCGCTGATGTATGTGAACCCCTTGTTACAGTCATGTGTCAATCCATCTTATTGAGGGTCTTCCTCTCTTTCGCTGACCCTCCCGTCCCCCAGAATAATGTCATTTTTTCCAAGGCCTCGTCCCTCCTGACAGCATGTCCTAAATATGTGAGACAAAGTTACATCATCCTTGCCTCTTAGGGGCAATCTGGTTTCACTTCAAGACAGATTTGTTTGTTCTTTTAGCAGTCCACAAGATATTCAGTACTCTTCTCCAACACCACAACTCAAAAGCATCGATTCTTCTGTCAGCTTTACATTGTCCAAAATTCAGATGCATAGCAAGTAGTTGAAACAATCATGGTTTAAATCAGGGGTGTGTGTATTTAATACATATTTTTATTTTTGTGTATTGTTTTGGAACCGGTTTTCATATGAGAAAGCACTGTAGTCTTTAAACTGACATCATTGCTCGAGACCTTGAGCGCAGATTTCCCCAGTGCGAGAGATCTTTTGCTTTCTTGACCCAAGCTGAATTGCTCTTATCAGCAGTATCTTATCTTATCACTTCTAAAGCTGGTCCTGACTCACCTGGCGGAGGAGGTCAGAGCTGAGTGGGGTCAGGCTCCCTCACCAGTTTTAAACAAAAGCAAAATCCAAACAAACTCAGTACTCAAATTAAATCCATTGCCGCCCAGTTGATTTCACTCATGGTGACCCCATGCATGTCCAAGCAGAAGTGTTCACTGAGGGGGCGGGGG